ATTTTTGTATTCACCTATGAAATAAAGTTATAATTTATTTGACGTTGTCGTCTGATACCCCAATATGATTCGGTTTATGAGTTATTTTTTGCATGCATTTTTTTTCTCTTCCATGTGCTCTTCTTATCGATGGTAGGTAGAGCAGTAAGAAAAAGTAACTAGGAAGAAGAGAAAGAAAAAAAGTGAGAATGTATATTTCATCAGCGATAACATAGGAAACGAGTCAGGTAACAGAAAAGAATCCGCTTGCACGTGTAAAATATGACCATGAAGGCTAAAAGTGGTATGTTCTCAGTTTTCTTCATTCGGTTTTGCTCACTCATTATGATTAGTAATATATGACAACACTTGAAGAAGAAAGACGTATTGTATATGTGATACATAGAAGGGCTAATGGCCTTCAAATATACGTAATGCTGAATGAGTAAATTTTTCTAGTAAGGGTTGTAATCATATCAAGACGAATGTACGATACTTGCTTCGTCCTGTTGACGATAAGGAATATATTTTCTTCATTACTCAGAGAATATTTCGTCTCCTTCTCTTCGTGATTTGTATTGTCGACTGTTTTCATAAGAAAGAAAAAAAATGACTACTACAATTATGAATGAGTTGTTGGAAGCATTTTGCTCAGCAGCTTCGATCGTATATATTCATTCGAGAGAAGACAATAACGCAGGGTATTATTTTTAACCAACGTTACAGTCACCAGAGTGTTCAGATTTAAAACTGAAACTTTTCTTTTGATTCGACACTTCTTTCGGTAAAACGGAGAACAATGATAGATAACATATTCCCGATGGATCATGTCGATGCCGTAACACTTCAAGTAATATGGACATAAGAAATATTCCTAATCTCGAATTTTGTGATACGTTGTCATGTGACGACTAACTCTAAGTTGAATTGTCTGAAGACTATGAATAACCAGTAATGACATCGACCAATACATTTGAGAAAAGCCTTTTAAAACTCATCAATTTAGATGAATTTAAAGTGCCAATAAAACTGATGAATACGTACTATTCGAGCACGCTCGATACTTCTTTTCATGTTGGTTCTCTGGCCTATAGCACATTAGTAGAGTTTTAAAAAGATTAGATATTTGTTCGGAGGCAACTTTAATCCTTCTATTTTGTTACACTGAAGTGGTTCGACTGTCTTCTGATGTTGAACAAAACTTTGCTTCGAACAACTCATGTATTCATGTATTTGCAGAGCAAAAACTGGCACCATCAACGCCTTCCACACAAGATGATAAGAGTAAGCATTATTGATCTTATATGCACTATCACAAAAGTCTTCTTGAATTTGATACTTTGGATCAAAAGATCTCATTCAATGAGTTTTGTATCTTTAGCATCATACCAATGTATTATGTTTGATTTTAGATAAACCTTGGCTCAAGTGCCAATTCCATGATGTCGATCAAACATCTATTAAGAAGCCTGATGAGTTTGGAATCAGCCTAAAAGATTTTGCACCGTTGAGAGAAATCAGTGCTGATGTAGTAGATCGTATTCAAGGTTCAATGTTTGGTTTGACAGTGGGTGATGCTCTTGGTGCTCATGTTGAATTCAGACCTAACACTTATTTAGTTGCTAATCCAGTGAAAGACCTAGTAGGAGGAGGAACATGGGGTCTACAAAGAGGACAGGTAACAAATCTATTTATATGAGATGGATACCAGTTCATTTTTCTAGTTCACCGACGACACTTCTATGGCGCTTTGTTTGGCTAATTCGCTGATTGCTTGTCGAGATTTTGTTCCATATGATCAACTAGTTCGGTATAAGTGGTGGCATCGACATGGCTATATGTCATCGACCGGTCATTGTTTTGATATCGGTGCAGCCACTCGACAATCAATCCAAGAATTTGAAAAGCGTCAAAGAAAGTTTGCACATGATCATGACATTCTTTTAGATCAAATAGACTCTCTATCTGATCGTGATCTTTTGCAAGCATTCGATGTGCATTGTAGCAAAGAGGGTGTTGCTGGAAATGGAGCCCTGATGCGTCTCGCACCTGTGCCACTCTTTTTCTATCGACATCCGAAAGTTGCCGTTGATTATTCGGGCATTAGTGGTCAAATTACTCATGGAGATGAGAAAGCTTATGATGCATGCCGTTATTATGGAGCTCTAATTGTGGCTACTGTTCAAGGTGAAGATAAAAGCAAACTGACTAGTAACACATTCTATGATGAACATCAGGAGTGGTTTGGTGATAAAACCCTTTATCCTGAAATCATGACGATAGCTCAAGGATCCTACAAAAAAAAAGGTGGATATCAAGATGGAATTCGAGGTAAAGGATACATTGTTAATGCTCTGGAAGCTGCTTTGTGGGCCTTTTGGAGTGATGGAGACTCATTCGAGACAGGTGCACTCAACGCTGTTAATCTAGGAGATGATACAGATACAACAGCAGCTATCTATGGTCAATTGGCTGGTGTTTATTATGGCTACAACAAGTTACCAAAAAAATGGCTGGAATCCATCTATGCCAAAGAATTCATTCAATGTGTAAGCAGCTGGATTGCTTTCGAAGGAGAACAATGGTTTAAAAATCAGGGTACTCCAAACACGAGACAACTAATTAATTCTGGTCATCATCACGCGCTCACATTGAAATCGATTATCGCAAACATTCCATCGCTAGAATCACACTTAAACCGAAAGCACTCACTGGTCGATGACTTCACGTCGAATACCCTTGTGCGCAAGGCAATCACTCCTGAGGGTCGTATAGGACATTGTTATGATGGATGGAAGGATCATGTTTTACAATCGTTGAGTGTCAACCCGAGTATAAACCCAGATTATTTGTACCCACCAATAAAATGTGAGATAAAAAGTGGTGACAAGCGTGAAAATCGAAATCTCCTTCGACTCATCGATTTTCCTGCTGATCTTCGATTGAGTGTGTTATCGAACTTGGTTGAACCAACTGGTATTGCTTCAGTTGTCAATTACCCATTTGTAATTGATGAATATACTCGCATCTTCTATTATTCATATCTTGTTCGAAATCAAGCATTACTTGACGTGAACAGCATTCAACCACAAATAGGCACGGCTTCTGCCACTCATGTAATCACGGCAGTAGATTGTGGTATCGATGTTGTTGTTCTACTGAGATTGCCGCCTGATGATTCAGGAGTGATCGACAACAGTCTTCGTGAAGTATGTGAATACATGAAACATGACACAAAACCAATTAATAATGAACATGCGCTTAATCGAATTCTTTCCACATATATCTATTCGAACAGATCGGATTTAACAGGTCAATCAACATTACTCAATGTGTGCCAAGCTATTCTCAATATCAAAAATAACCCTGCTGATCAACAACCTTGCAACTATATTCTTCATCCAATCAACAGTTTTCATTCTGATCAAAATCAACAGAACATCGCATTTTTTCCAATCGAACCAAAAATTACAACAATGATTGAAGACCATTGGCTTCGACTCTCCTCCGTCAGCAAGTTATGGGAAACATTTCGAAAAAATATCACGTCCGATGTTTGGCAAAGTGATCTCAAGAAACAATTCGATGAGGTTCACGTAAAAGTCTACAAATTAACAGATCAATATAATAAAGAAAGGAAGCATGGTGGCGTCTTAATTTCACATATTCGTCAAGGAAAAAAGCCGCAGGAGACTATTGAGAGCTATTTACGACTCGATGAAGGAGAGAAGTTGAAGCGCACTATCGACGATCTTAAGCATGATCTTAGAACTTTAGAAGAAAAAGAGGACTTTATTAAAGATTTGAAAAAGCAAGGATTTGATTACCAGAATGCCGACAAATATGGTATCAAACAAGGTCACAATGAAGATAAGATCCAACGAAAGTTCATTAAAGATAAACGGCGACAACGCATTCTTTGCTCCAACGACAGTTTAAACGCAGCGTCTTGGTCACACTTGCAAGATATATTAACACGAATGGCTAATGAACGTGCAGAAAAACCTGAGTTGAATCTAGTTTATGTTGATTTCTCTTACTGTTCATACGAGTTAGACATGATAAAAACGTTTCCCACAACGAACTATATTCCAACTGGTGGTGTGCGCGAATCTCTTATTCAGACAACGAAAAAACCCAACTCTCGTCTAGTTATACCTTCTACCGATAAAATAATCAATGTGATTCTCGTCGGTAAATCAGGAGTCGGCAAATCGACACTGATAAACACAATTGCCAACTGTCTACAATTCGAAACTTTCTCAGATATTCGATCGAGGATATCTGCTCTGTGTGTGTATGTCTCATTTATGTTTCCGTTAACGACTGATGTGGAACCACATTTCATTCAACTTGGCAATCATGATCCCAACGAAGATTATAATCATACTGGTCATTCTACAACTCAGCGTTGTAAATCGCACATATTTGATGCTGGAAATAGACAACAGCTACGTATTATTGATACTCCTGGCTTTTCTAATGCGTTCGATCAGGTTCAAAACGATGTGACAATGCAGCACATAATATCATACATTTCGGAGCTAACTCATTTGAATGCCATCTGTGTTGTGATAGAGTCAGACGACTCTGAACTCACTGCCTATCGGGAGCCTTTGATGCAGTTGCTCAATTTTCTTGGAAAAGAAGCACATGACAAACTTCTCTTTTGCTTCACCAAATGTCTATCCAGCTCGAACGATGACAATGAAAGAAAGGCACGTGTTCAATCACTGTTTCAGTCACTCCGGTTTGGGGAAATTCCTAGGAAATCTGAGCGCATACTTTTATTTGATAGTACTTACTTTGTTCATTTGGCTCGAGCACGATGGTTCGCTCCTCATGAGTCGCAATGTCAAGAGAGTTGGTCAATTTCAAAGAAAGCAGTAGAGCAGCTGATGCATAATGTTCGTCAAAGCAATAGCGCATATCTCCTATATCAAGGACTACAAGGAGTAGAATATGCTCGACTAGAAATTCTGCAGATGATTCGTCCAATAACGGAATCAATGCGAAATATTTTTCGAAATCAAATTTTACACAGTTTTGGATCCTCGTCAAAATGGATCGATTTACATCCGAAGCCTATTCAACGACCTTCAGCTATGTGCTACTTGTGCCAGCGTTCAATTCGGCAATACGGTAACTTTTGGATCACCTGCGATATTTTGCACGAGTATCGAAATAAGTGTGAACATTGTTTATGCGATTCAGGGCAACATCTTCCGGTCGATTATCAACTTGATTATGAATTAGTCGATAGTGTGAACTATCAACTGCGTAAGTTGATTGATTGGTATGAAGAACTTGTTGATGCTAGCATCCACTTCGCTCATTTTCTTCTATATATGATTCGACATTCGAGCAATGATCCATTCTTGACGAGTCTTGATCGAATGATTGATGAGGAAAATCATATTTGTGACAGAAAATTTGATCGTAATTTCAATTTGCAATTAGTTAGGAAACTCCAAGAACTCAAATTTCATTATAAACAAAGGATGAAACACTTACTACAGAGACGTGCAGGCAACGATTTGGTGATTATTAATGATTATATTGAACGCGTCAAAGATATTCCCATGGTACAGAAACAATTGAATGTCGCTAAAGGAATAAAGGATACTTCTGTATAGATGTGTCGACACTAGAGACTGCTAACATGAGCTATGGAGTTACTCATCGTGTTTAATTAAGACTTTCTCATTTATCATAATAAATTTATTCTTCGTATCTTCTATCGATTCCTACCGTTATGTGCCTAATCAACATTTTAGTACACCGTTTTTATAAATAATGCTAAAAGAATGGTTCTGAATTCTGAATGATCTCTTCACTCGGTTCCATGGAACGACGAGCTTTAGTCTCTATCTATTAGTATGAGTAAATGCTCAACTAGTATATGGGTGTAGTTGGGTATTAGATTCCTTCACTAACATCCATTTGAGTAACCTGGTCTATTTTTCTGATTCTATATGTACACAAGTCGTTTTTTATTCAAAAAGAAGGATCTGTTTCAGCCGATATCTCACGTCTTTGAACATTGTTTGGTAAATATTTGATGCTTCTACAAATGACTCTATGAGAACAATAGTCGGTTCTCATTCGTCCATTGCTTGTACCGCAAGCTTTCAGTCGATTATTGTTAATTCCGAGGATGTGGATGTGAACGTGCAAGAGAGAGCAGGTCTTTAGGGATACCCACACTTCAGTTTATATGGTTGCTTGAAAATAGATTCTTTTATGCCAAAAAAGCAACTGGTAGGGTATGAGAATTGATATAAATGAAGGGAAGGCTGCACACCGCACGCCGACACGCCAAGTCGAGTTTTCTTGGCCTGTGTTGTTTGTTGAACAGCTAAGGTGCTCCAGTATATATGGTAAAACAGAATAAGCATAAATCTTTGTGATCACTAGTAGTCAGGTTTCTAATCATTTGTCTCTCTTATGAAGTCAGAGTTTCCTTATGGATAATTGCATATTTCTCCGAATATATTTTTCTAAGAAAGTCTGAGTTAAACCTGAATCAGTCTGCTAACTGAAATAGAGATTGCATCGAATCTTCGACTGTTATCAACAATCTGAAAAAGGAAGGTGTGGATGGATAAAGAGCAGATCCATTCGCTCTCTTTTACTATCACCCACAATCACATCCTTCTTCTGATTCTTTTTGAAACCGTAGCTTAGTTATGAGAACTGTATGTAAAAAAGAAAATTTTTAGCTTCACACAAGTGATATCAGTTTTGATTTTACTTGAAGTTCTGTACAACAAAGGTGTAGATAATGTCATGGATAGCATTATCATCACAGATTTAGAATCTATGATTCTTAGACATCTGGTGCGAAATCCAGAAATAGCTGACCGAATGCGGAGAATTTGTGAGGCTGGCTAAAATAGCAGTGCGGGTGTGGGTGGGTGAATGTAGGTGTAAACACGTCCTAGCTGCCCACGACCACAGCACATCCACACCTACCACCTACACCCACACTCCACACTCACACCCATCCACACCCACACCCACACCCTTATCAAAATATTCCCATGGTACGAAAACCACTGAATGCCGCCAAAGGAATAATAGACACTTCTGTATAGATATGCCGATAATAGAGACTACTAACGTAACCCATTGAGTTACTAGCAGTTTTCAATTAAGATTTTGACATTCATTATAATAAATTTATTCTGTACATCCTTTAATGACTCGCATCATTATATGCCAAATCTACTTTGTGTACTACGCCGTCTTAATAAATAATGTGAAACACAGGTTATATTAAATGTTGAACCATCTTTCCAATTGATTCGATGAAACAGCAAGCATGTGTCTCTCTTTATTAGAATGAATAGTATCCCAACTTTAAGATTCATCGTGAGCAAAGTATGGTAGTTTAGCAACTCGGTAGGAAAAGCTTACAAGCTGAACTCTAGACAAACAAGAGTCCGTAACAAAATAATAAATGATGTCAAACGCAGTGAAAGAGAGAAAAATCTAGCGATATATTTCCGATCAGTCAAAAATTTTTGACACTTTTAGTGGAAAGACTAAAACTTGACTTCAATATTGATCGTAAGAAAAAAACCTTAAAAAGCTCATAGCGCACAGAGTGCTTTGCCGCTTCTCATCTATCTTGGGTAAAAATGAGAAAAGTTCAGCGTATTTTTTGCTCGCTCTTCTCGAATATTTTATCATAATTGAATGAATCGAGGAAGAACAATTGTCAGCGACTTCAACAACACATAGATTTCTTTAGCAGAGCCTGCTTGAAATGAACTTGATATGCATCCTCATTTCGAGGTTCTTTTTCAATTTATCAAAGCTTGTTCGGTCATCTTTGACGAGTAAAAAAGCATTCAATTTGGTATACTGGAGTCGAGTACCATCAACGTTTCTCTGTAAATGACAAATAGACCAAGAATTTGCTTTATGATAATATTCGCGTCTCCCTATTATTCAAAATAATTGTTCCGTACTATTCGAAGTTAAAAAATATCCATCATTTCAGAGACCCATTCAAGTTCATTGATTTCTCGGCAGCTAAATCTAACGATTACATAGCTGAATGATTAAAGTCAACACTCCAATTCTTATGCATAATCCAATTCTGTTTGGAATGCAGCTCGAAGAACGTAAAACATCAGAATCCCTCGCTCATGTTGGCTCATGTTAGATTACTTTTGATCATACCATGATATAGTAACAGCGCAAGTACTCTTTATTTTTTCATTGAATTAAATTTGAATCGAATAAACGCTTGAACTCTTGTCCTGTTGAATTTAGGAGTGGGTACGCAATGCTATCACCCTAAAAGTGAACATAGGTTCTCCAGAAAAACGAACAATATTGATTGTCTCTTATCATTCGATTGAATCTGCAACGACCGATGACTTGAACACAGACAACACCTTCGAAAATAGCTCTTTTTTATCGTTAGGATTCAATGGTCTTCTCCTATTCTAATTTTCTCAGCATTAGTTTGACAATTTGAGATGCAGAACGTAGCAAAGGATAGAAAAAATTCTCTGAAAAATCTGCTCAAAAGACATCATTTTATCCATATGGAGATTATCTTGACCAGCCGTATATCCTTATTCCCGCACGTGTAAGTGCACCTGCACCCAGTCACCCACATCCGCATTCTGCTTGTCTGGTTGGATTGCAAATTTCTAAATAATATTCGAAAATCAAGCTTTAGTTAATTCATTACGAATATTCAATGTAAAAAGATACTTTATAGTATATCTGTTGCCAATTCTAGCTACTAACCTTGAATAAATAGAAATTGCATTGGACTCAAAATGATGATCTGGAAGTCTTTGTGACAGCACTAGACATAATCTAGTATTTCTTCGTGATACATGTGCATGAATTCATAATGTCATTTCTCTAGCTCAAATGTTCGCCGTCATTGGACTCATTCAAAATAAATATGTATGTCTATTATCAGCAGAGAAATGCTTTTCATAGACCAAAACCACATGGATTGGTTATTGTTAATGGTTTCTATTTAATCTCAATAATTGAAGTGCTGTAAAACTAGATTGCACTAGAATAGCGAAATAGTAAACAAAATATTTATCAGAAGTTAGAAAAACTCGTTTTGAATTTCTTTTATTATTGATATCCAATTTTTGTTACGGAAAACGGGGTAGCCACTTTTTTAAGTGATAAAAATGATTGAATAGGCAGGGACGGAGTACAAAATAACTCATTGGTGTCTATTATTTCAAGTACCTGTATTAAGATTTTTCTGAGTATTTAACATAGCAACTAGGATATTTTTATGCTAATGATAATAGTTTTTTTTTCTATCCTTTATTTATATTGACAAAATAAGGTATATCTATACAAAAAAAAACGAACGCAATTTAATTAACTTTTTGTCCTTTATAAACTGGTGGTTTTGGATCACTTGGTAAATCAATAAATTCTTTTTCAACTTCAATATTGGTTTGTTCTTCGACATTTTTTTTATGTGGAAGATCACCTAATGTCATATGTTTTCGTGGTGGTGGATCTTGAAATACTCCTGGACCTTCAAGTGGATAACGAACATGTGAATATGGATTATCAAGTGGTCGATATTTATCAGCAACTGTTAAAACTTCTTCTTCTTTTAATTGTTCATCCATTTTTCTAATTGCATCTAATGATTGTTGAATTGTATGTACTTGATCATCATATTTTGGACCAACACACCATAATGTTTCAAGATCATTTTGTTCACGCATTTCAGCATCCATTAAATGTAAAACAAGATGACCTTAGAAATTGAAAAAAGAACAGTAAATTTGACAATTTTCTTTCCTCTAAACATACCCATATCCATAGCATGCCATCTTGAACCATCACGACATTCATTACTTAGGAAAGGATCACTTGGTTCCTTTTTAGCTTTATACTAAACAATAAATATATATAT